TACCAAATTCAGACATCGCGGCATAAAGGCAACTTCTCTTCGTGCTGTCGAAAGCGGCTTTGAAATCGACAAATAGATGGTGTGTGTCGATCCTATTCTCGCGGGTCTTTTCCAAGATTTGGGGTATTGTGAATACCTGATCTATGGTGGATTTTCCAGGCCTAAAGCCACACTGATAAGGTCCAATCAGCTCGTTGACGGTGGGCTTCAGTCTTTCGCACAATACGCTCGATAAGACCTTGTAACCTATGCTTAGAAGGCTAATTCCGCGGTAGTTGGCGCGTATGGCGGGGTCGCCTTTCTTGTGGATTGGGCAGAGCACACTTACGCCAAGGCAACGATAATTAAACTGACCAAATCAGAATTGGAGGTAAGTAAGAGTACCAGTAATATAGCGAGCTGTCTTGCTGGTGCCTTCGAGCGCCGAAGGTCAGACAGTTTACTCATGTGACAAAACGCTTGCCAGATCTAGCTTGACTGTCCAAAAGTAAGTTGGACACCTGGGCTGGACCGGCCAGCTTTCATACACATGTGCTGCAAGCATATGCAGGTGTGTACATGCAGACGTGGATGCCCTTACGTGTACGTGTGTATGTGCACGTATGCGAAAGCATGTGAGCACTGCGCCGCATAACTTTGTGCGAATGTTTCCTAATGTATGTTATACTTTTCAGGTCGCCCGTAGAGGAAGCGCGAAAGGAGCACTTGGCAGCCACGCTAGCACCTAGCACCGTGGTACCCGACAACCACAATGAAGCACATTCGCACGTTCACCGCCTGGAATCCATGAACATATGAGTTGTGGCTGGCGAATTGAATACCACCGAAATCGCCGCTAAACTTCAAGGTGTATACGCATACCAAGAGGAGACCGCCGCAACCATTGGTGTCCAGCAACATTGGAGATAGCTAACAGCTGATCTGTAGACACAAGTTGGAGTGGGTCAACGACCGCCGGGCTGCGAAAGACGGAGGAAAAAGGCAAGAGCTGAGCATCAATACCAGCACGAGAAGTCTCCAGCGAACCAGGAGCGCGCTGAATGAGCAGAGAGCGAGTCACCGACTACGTGGGAGCCAGAGATCACAATCGCAAAACCAACATCGTTCGCGGGTCACTCGAGCCACCAGCACTGGAGCAGTAGAGAAACGGTAGCTCAAATATCAGCTGCACATATACATGCGTAGTTTGCGATTTAGATTGAGTGAGAACTATTAGTTTGAGTAGTTTTCCCAGCGGGAATTAGTTGTACGCATAAAAATACCATTGTAGTTAGATATTTCCTTTTCTTTATATACTTTTTTTGGAAGAACATTTTTCTTTATAGTTTCTTTTTTTCGTAACCTTTAAGTGTTGAAGTAATACTTACCTAGTTTACACCTATCTTGCGCTCATATGTTAAGCTAATTATTAACTTCCCTTTCACTGGAAGTTTATTAATCTTTCCTTTAGGCAGCCATTCGGTTAGGTAGTAGCGATATTCTCCTTTGATTTAGTTTTAGCGATCACAACATACATGGATGCAAAACTGAATTTTGGAAATTTTATAGGATTTTAGTCATTTAATTTATATATACATATATAGGAGATTCGCATTAACTTGTTATTCACACATATGACATTGAAAACACATATTCGCAGAGTTGACTGCCCGTCACCTTGATAATTTTTTTTGGTTCTCTTTTGGATTTTTTTTGTTACTAGTTTCGTTTGAGCAATAATTTTTAATATTTCCACTCCGGTTTAATATTTTTTTTTTATTAATTGGTAGCAACAATCATGTGAATTCAATATATATATTAGTTTTTTCTGCACTTAGTTAGATTGCACCTTTACTTCGTGTTTTTTTTTGTCCACGCGTATAAAGCTTCCGTCAATTTACTTTCGAACCACGTTTTGCTTTTATTCACTTGCTACTAATGTACTCAATGGCCACAATAACGAGTGAGTGATCGGTCGGTCCATTGAGAGGAGCCGTAGTAATACCGGGGTTGGCAGGGGTTGATAGGTATGCGGTGTCTAGGCTTGTATGTATGTAAAACATTTCTCCCACGCAGGCTCTTCTCCGGAATGTTGGTACCATCATCGAAGGAGCGGACAAGGTGAGTGAGTAAAGATTATCTTTAAACTCTTTAGTACATGCTATATACATAGACATATATACATACCTTTTAAACATATACGTGAGTATGTGCGTGCATACATATGTCTGAATATGTTGTGCTATGAGTTAAATGCTATACGCACTGGTAGAATCGGTAAACAATGATATGGTATCGGTATTGAAACTAGCTTATAGCCTGATTCTCTATCTCGAACGAACAACCAGACGAACGATTCGTGTCCAAACGAAATCGTCTGAATTCAGAAGTCTCTATCTCGAATGATAATTTTCGTCCATCCTTACGTTTTACGTTATTCGCCCGAAAAGATCTGTCAAAACTGTTTTGTTTACTTTGTGTGTATAAAAGTTCAAAAANAGTACATGCTATATAACGGGTGATTTTTTTGAGGTTAGGATTTTCATGCATTAGTATTTGACAGATCACGTGGGATTTCAGACATGGTGTCAAAGAGAAAGATGCTCAGTATGCTTTGACATTTCATCATGAATAGACTTACTAACGAGCAACGCTTGCAAATCATTGAATTTTATTACCAAAATCAGTGTTCGGTTCGAAATGTGTTTCGCAAACCCAATTGCTGCGAACGGCGACGAATCGACATTTCACGGTCTTCAGCAACACTCTCAGAAACAGACGCAATATTCTCTTCTGTACGCACTGTACGCATTCGTGTGGTTGGTTTAATGTCCAATAAAGTAAACTGAGTGCGAAACTTGGTCACAATCGCATTAATTGTTTGCTCACTTGGTCGATTATGTAGACCATAAATCGGACGTAAAGCGAACCGAACACTGATTTTGGTAATAAAATTCAATGATTTGCAAGCGTTGCTCGTTAGTAAGTCTATTCATGATGAAATGTCAAAGCATACTGAGCATCTTTCTCTTTGACACCATGTCTGAAATCCCACGTGATCTGTCAAATACTAATGCATGAAAATCCTAACCTCAAAAAAATCACCCGTTACATAGACATATATACATACCTTTTAAACATATACGTGAGTATGTGCGTGCATACATATGTCTGAATATGTTGTGCTATGAGTTAAATGCTATACGCACTGGTAGAATCGGTAAACAATGATATGGTATCGGTATTGAAACTAGCTAATAGCCTGATTCTCTATCTCGAACGAACAACCAGACGAACGATTCGTGTCCAAACGAAATCGTCTGAATTCAGAAGTCTCTATCTCGAATGATAATTTTCGTCCATCCTTACGTTCTTACGTTATTCGCCCGAAAAGATCTGTCAAAACTGTTTTGTTTACTTTGTGTGTATAAAAGTTCAAAAATACAATATTTTAATAGAATTATTTAAAAATGTATCTAGCAATAGCATTTCTTGCAAGTGAACGTTCGAACGAAGACGAATTGCGGATTCAGAGGCGGAGGCTTCGAGACAGTACAAATGTATTGGAATTGCCAGACGCCGAGTAAGTAGACGTGCATTTCTAGCATTCCAGATAGTTGTAGTGTTATGTGGGGACGAAATGGGACCCATGTCAAGTGGTCTACTCTGGCTTGCACCCACATATCGCAGATTTGTATGTGTATATTAACCATTAACCTACATATTTTATTTTAGGTTTGTTAAAAACTTTCGAGTCAGCAAAGAAGTATTTGGACACATTTTTAGCGAAGTGGGCATCCATATGAAAGACACCTACCGTAATACTCACTTGCCATCACAACTGAAACTGTCCACATTTCTACGCTTTCTTGCAACTGGAAGCTATCAAAAGTCGGTGGGTAACGAAAGTCTCTCAGTAATGGGTCAGTCGACAGTTGCAAAAGTAATAGCGGAATGCTTGAACATTTTTGAGGAGCATTTTTGCCACAAATGGGTAAGCATGTGCAGGACCGAGGAAAAANCTCTGATTTCTGAAATTATTGTTGTAGTATGAATCATATTTTTATACAAACTTAGCAAATTAAAAATTTTCGTTGAACAAATGGCCACAGTTTTTTTTTAACTCCGAGTCTATCCTTTTATGAATTACTGTACACTTTGATTTAACAAAATTATCCGCCGTCAAGTGGCTTAAATAAAAAAATATATATAAAAAGGGAACTAAACAAATTTGTCTTGCAAACTTTCAATGGCCTGTGCTTGCCTGATTGTGATCTCGAGCAACTCTTTAAGCGTTTCTGCTATGGATCTGGTGGATTCAGCCTGAATCATAGCCGCTTCTGCCATTTTTTGCGCAGCTTCAGCTTGAATTTTCGCTGCAGAGGCTTGCTCCTTCGCTGACTCGGCTATAAGCTCCTGGAAAGTTCTCTTCCGGCTGCTTTGTGGCGCTGATGCTGCGGCTATATGCCTTTTTGGTGTAGTGGACTGCTGTCTGGTAGGTGTCACAACCCCAATTAGTGCAGCTGTGCGGACCGGAGTAGTGACAACTATTGGGATCAGCTCCTCAGGTGATGGTGGTTGAGGTGATTGGTCAAGCTCTGGTTCTGAGCGTACAACCACTTGCCTTACACCGAGAACTGTACCACTTGGTGTGGCCGCTTTTGACACCAGCAAGATCCGGTCGATGGCCTTCTCCAAATCGGTGAGCGGTGAAAGCCGGAATGGTCCACCACCTGTGGCATGCATGCTGGACGCATTTTCCGCAATTTTCTTCTTTGTGCGGCTTTTAAGATCAGCCCAAATCTGGAAAAACATTACAAGCACAATGTTTGATACAATTTACTATTTATAAAATGGAGTTACCTTTTTCCATTCGGTAGCTGTTCTTTGTGGAGGTCCATGTGCGTTTAATTTATTGGCTAATTCATTCCACTGCAGTTCTACCAGGCTCTTACTCGCACCAAACATTGGAGCGCCTTTTGCCAAGTCTGGATTTTTCTCCAGCTCTTTTACCAGCACATCGAACTGAGCACTGGAAGTTTTTTTAAACACTGTAAAGTATACCAAAAAATGAATTATAATAATACGAATCTTTTTTCGATTATTTCCTGCCTTTTTTGCTTGAATTATCCATTTTAGCGGCTCACACGATAGCAAAAACTCTTTCGTTTGAATTTGACTCTTTTTTTCTTTATTTGAAGTCGTATTCGTGTTAGAGAATTCACATTTGTTACGTTTTCGTCACATAACAATCAGCTGTTATCGACTAGTTATCGCCAGGGTAGCGAATTCGTGTTAGGTAGTACAAATACACGAACAAACGGCTGTTTGGACGAGACGAACGCTCGTTTCGAGACCCAGGTTGATAGCGTTGGAGTTGTTAAACAATCATACGTTTAGTTAGCGCGGTAAAGCTAATGTTTGTTTCTTTTGTTGCCATTTTCCTTTTGATTATTTTTTTTAGAAGCCTTTTGCAATGTTTGGTTAATTGATCGATTTCATTTGCATATACATATATGTTTGTATAACTATACTCATCCATGTACATATATTTACATACATATAGGTACAGAGGCTGAATTGTGAGTACCATAGGTTACACAAGTATTTATATTTGCATACATATAGGTACATATTTTGAATTTTGAGTATCATAGGTTACATTATAAAAATCTCTGCTGTAATTGAGTAGGGTCAGTCAAGCAGGGCGTGGGATTTAATGAATAGTAAAGTGATTTGCGGAATCAATAAAGAAAAATGAATCGTTAATGAGCTATGTATATGAAAAAAAAAGAGTTATTGATATCGGTGTGGGTGTTGCGCTTGCGCGCAAGAGGGGACGTGGGAGTGATGACAGGCGACAGGACTGATAAACTTAGGTTGACTGCATGACGGACTGACGAACTTGAGTCAGGTAAAGTGAGAGGAGTCAGCACAACGCCCATGGTTTCGCGTAGTTGAACGCTGAAGAGGGTGGGTAGACTCCGCCTGACGGGACAGGACTTAATGTTTTTCTCGTTTCGCTGCTTGTTTGCCGACCTTTTTTTTGGGGTTTTTTTCTTTGTTTCCTAGCCTATACTTCTACTGTCTTCTTCAACTTACGATATGTCGGCATGAATGATCTTTTTGTTAGTGTAGCGTGGGCAAGGCGAGTGCAACAGACCCACCCCACCGATGAGCTATGCCAGGCACCACAAGCATGCCGACTTGCAACTCGACCATGCAACAGAACTACAGCTACATAACAATGGCGTCCAATGCTAATAACCCAACAATCTTTCACTTCATGATTTTTTTTATTTTTGTTCTTTCCACTATTCTCTTGCTTGTGTTTACTTAGTTTTACTCTATACGATCTTAAATTCTATTGTTTTGTCCTATATTCCTTTTTTTCTCGGACGGTGTTAGGGAATTATGACAGCAACACCGCGAGATCAGTCGGAAACGGTTAGTGTTGACATGATGAACGGGGGGTTTCTGCTTAGTCGCCTTCAAGGTTCCTTGTTCTGATTCCAGTTTTTGATTAAGTGGTATTTGGCGGTGACTTTGGCATTTTGAGGGGATGTAGAATTTTGTATTTGTTTTGTTTTTAATTTTTTTGGTAAAGGCAGTTGTTGAAGCTACGTTACGGGTAGTCCAGCATTATCAGTAAGTGAGGCTTACAGCGCGTCTTCGAATGGGGCAAGGGAAGTGTGGCAACCACACTTAGTGATTAGCCACTGAGTGGTGTAGTGCCTAACTGGTTATAACTGGGGAATTAGCTGACTTGACTTTGGACAGGGGACATACGGACTTAAGTATTACTCTCACCATGACCTCGCCAAGGCAACACCACACACACCGATCAAATCATTTACAAATTTTTTTTTGAAAAATATTTGCGAATCCTTTATACGGAGAATACAAACAAGGAAACAAAAAAAGTGCAGAGAATTTGAAGGGAACAATTAAAACGTGAACTAATTTTGTTTTTCAGTACATTTCTTTTATTTGTAACCTCATTTTAATATATAGGATAAATTAATACCTCTTAGTGCATGCATATATACAAACATATACAGATCTTATATCTACTACGTATATAACCATATGTCTGTTTGGCATACTATTTCACTTTGTTATTTACCACTTCTCTATTTTTTTTATGAGTCATAACACTCAACTTGAATTGTATGATTTTTGCGTTTTTTTTATTGAATATACATACATACATACATACTTGTATGCATATGTACACATTTTGAAATTCTTGAATCTTTGGGGTGAATTCCTTTAGCGTTTCTTGGATTTATCTATTTTTTTTGTTTTGTTGAAACTTTTTTTTTTGAATTTTGGGCAAAATTTTAATTGAATTTAGTTTTTGTTACCGCGGTTTATTCGTGCGTACTTTTTGATTCCGTGTTTGAAATTAAACATTGTTTTTGAGTGAGTGAATGTCTGAAGAAGAAGACCAAGGAAGAGCGATACGCGGTTTGGGTATTCTTAGCAAAGATAGGCCAATTACTCCTAGCATTTCACGTGCCCTAGAGAACCAGGTTGTCGGTTCTATTTTTAACCAAATTGATACGGGGATTGAACGTCCGGTAGATTTCGTTCCTTCGGACTTTTTCAATAGATGCGCCAGTACGATTAACACTGAGCAAGCGAGCACCTTGTCCATAACGAACGAAATATCTATCGGAGAGTCCAACAATAACAGCATTATTTTTTCATGAAAACTTGATTTGTTGTGCCAAATGTCGGATGGTAATGTTGTAGGAGCTGGGGGGAACGATGACTTCGTGGGAGGCGAACCAACCAGGGACTCGGAAGCTGGCGGTTTCAAAGACCAGAGGAATGAACCTGCCAACACTGCGACTAGTATCGAGCAACTAAGCTGTCTAATGGCAATGATGGCGCAACAAAACGATATGATATCGCAGTGTATGAATGAGGTAAGGCACATGAGGGACAATGTTTCGAACCTCAGCGGCCGAGTATCCGAAATGGAGACGTCCGCTCAAGCACTGGGTCATCGTTCCAACGCGGCATCAACTCCGGAGAATAGAGGACGTGGAGAAAAGGCCAGGAATTGTGCTGATAAACACGTTGACAGCAGAAGTACGGAGATAGCTAGTCAAGACACGCGAGAGCCACCGAGGTGGAAGAAAATTGATCTCGAGAAGTGGGACATAAAGTTTGATGGGACAGGCAAAGGGATGAGTGTGGAGAGCTTTATCTTTCACGTCGAAACACTGCGTGAGCAGAACAACATCTCTTTCTTCCAGCTTTTCACGGACTTTCACTGTCTGGTTTCCGGCGGCGCCTTGAAGTGGTATTGGCAGGTGCTCGAGGACCATGCTGATAGTCCCGACTTTGGCTATTTCGAGCTGATGGCGGAACTGTTAAACCACTTCAAGACTGCTGAGTCCGACTATGAAATCATCCCTGAAATCATGGAACGAAAGCAGATGCCGAATGAGAGTTTCGACGATTTTTATAGCGAAATCCACAACATGACATTCAGACTCCGAACGAAGATCCCTCAGAAAGAGATGGTAGGCATAATTAGGGGTAACCTCAAATCCTACATAGCAAACTTGACGTTCGCGTCCAAGATGGAAACTCTGGCGGAGCTGAAAGCGGAGTGCAAAAGGGCAGAGAAGGTGATAAAAGAAAATAGGAGTAGAGCTAAAGCCATAAATGAATTAGAAGTAGAGCCAGTAGAGCAGAAAGGAGAGAATATAGTAGAAGCTTTTAATAGGGACCAGATTAACAGAAAACCACAACACTCCTTCCCAGTGAAAGTTTGTGATGTTACGTCTGCGTCCACGTCTGTTTGTCCTTATACGTCCAAGTCTACTGTGAAATGCTTTTGTCCTTCACCTTTCCATTTGATGTTGTGTTTCGCGTGTGGCATGCCAGTGGATCACTTTGCTAAAAACCCGGCCGAAGCTCAAAAGGAAACTAAATGTAAGTCCTCGTTCCACAATATGGTGTGTTTTGCTTGTGGTAGTGACTAGTTCTTTTGTGTCTTCAAAAAAGATAAGGGAAACTCCAAACTGCCGGAGATAACCGGGGGTTCCAGCCAGGAGATGGGCAACCCGGAAGTGAGGAAGTAAAGATATTGAGGAGAGAAAAGGAAAATGAAACTAAATTAAAGAATGAAATAGTAGGTAAACCGGAAATAAAAAGTTAACATCAGCGTAAACTAGAATACGAAGAGGCGCGTAGAAGAATATTTTGCGAAGAGATAGACAGTAAGAAGAAAAGCAGGAATTTTAAGAAAATTGCCAAGATGAGGGAAAGGAAAAGAATTTTTAATAGAATCTATAATAAAATAATTTCAACAATAGTCACTGTTAAGGGAGATAACCGATTCTTTGTCAAGACTAAAATTGGGGGCCACGAGGCGCTTTTGGACTCGGGGGCAGGAGCTAGCTGTCTGGGCAAGGACGGGAGTGTGCTACTGCGGGGTAATGAGGACCTAATTCTGCCGATTAAGGGCCAAAATATCAGAACTGCCAATGGTGAGGAGCCCGCCGTAATAGGGGCCATCAAGCTACCAGTGTTGTGGGATAGTGCTACAAGAGAGCTAGAGTTCTTAATAGTGCCTGGGCTACAACAGCAGGTGTATTTAGGAGTCGACTTCTGGAAAACCTTCGGAATGAGTGTTGTAAACAAAGGGATAAATGTGAGTGCGGATGGTGCTAGGGTTGCTGAACTCGTTCCCGCCGATGGTGACCTGTCCTTCGACGCCGTGCAGCACTTACTGACATTAGAACAATCCAACGCATTGGAGTGGGTGAAATCATAATTCCCCTCATTTGCGGTATCAGGGTTAGGTCGGACAGAGCTAGAAGAGCACGTCATTGAGGTAATTGACGAGAATCTGCCAGTAAAGCAGCGACATTACCCTATTTCACCCGCAATCCAGAAATTAGTCTATGCTGAACTAGATCGAATGCTGAGCATGGGAGTCATTGAGGAGTCCAACAGCAGCTGGAGTTCACCAGTCTCCTTAGTAATTAAAGGCGCAAAAAACCACCTCTGCTTAGATGCCCGCAAGGTGAATGCAAGGACAGTGAGGGATGCGTACCCACTCCCACATATAGAGGGTATTCTCAGCAGACTCCAAAATACTAGATATATTTCAGCTATTGATCTGAAAGACGCGTTCTGGCAGATTCCGTTGGAAAAGAAATCTAGGGAAAAGACGGCGTTTACGGTGCCAGGCCGACCATTGTAGCAATTCACAGTTATGCCTTTTGGACTGTGTAACGCGGCACAAAGAATGTGTCGTTTAATGGGCAAGGTCATAACCGCTTCGTAACGTGAATGTGTATTTGTTTATCTTGACGATTTGTTAGT